GCAATTTATGATTCCTCTTCTAAGCCCCTATAGCATTTACCATCGTGCCAATCGTGTTACCAGAAATGTTAGAAATCTAATAATATTGTTTTCTATGAATATCATACACACAGTATAAAAATAAATGATGTTAGACATATTTCGATGTAACTTTAGATGCTTAACTTCCTCTCCCACATTTGTCTTATTCAATTTAACATAAACCGAAAAATTATCAAATTTTCCCCTATGAACATTGGTAATATTAAAAACTCTGGTATGATAAATACGTAATTTGATTTTTCAATTTCTATCCAATAATTCTCTTCATCAGCATGTTGATTAAAATCCCACAAAAAAAATCATGTTTATCTTTAGACATATTCTATATTATATGAAGCATTGAATGATTTTCACATGTTTACATATTTTATATTCAAGTTTTAATAGCATGTTTTAAGTGCCCCTTTCAAAACTAAGACTGGCTTTATAACTTGAATACTTAAATAAAATGTACAAAAAATTTCTCAAAGTAATCTAAAGTGAAATTATACACAAATTAAACAATAACCAATAAATCGATATTGATCTAATTGTTAAAGAACTAATCGACATATTGAATTATTTAGGAGTTTGAAAAACATAGAACTGAAAAGACCATGCATATTTTTTTGAAATAAGAAAAAGAGAAAAGAGCCAACTAGGGATTACTATAAATAGAAAGGAAAGAGTAAGACAACAATTATAGTTCAGGAACATTACTAATCTTAACATAAACTCGAAGCTAAAAGCCACTTAGCCCTAGAAAATAAAAGGATGTCAAGAGAATATCTTGACATATAAACTCACAGGTTAAGAATTTATTTTTATTTCATATATACATTTTACATATCAAAATACTTCTTTTTCAAAAAACTATAAATAATAAGTACATGTATAACCTGTATCATCTACTGGAAGATTTACTGTCTATCACTTGCTAATGGGCGAAGTTTGAAGGGAGGATAACAAATGCAAAAACATTTAAATTAACAATGTCATGAAGGTGGGGTTTCACTCATGATGTGATCATATCTTCTTACTTAATTTCATAACTAATATCTTACTTCTGTCAGAATTGTGCAGGCTCTAATACCACTGAGTGAGTGACATTAGATAGGTAAGAAGTTGTAAACTAGAGGGAAGCTAATAACACTCCCTCAGTGGTATTACCATTGTACCAATCATGTTACCCATCATATTTTCTATTAATAAATGATGTTGAACATATTTCGACTTAACTTTAGATGCTTAACTTTCTCTCTTATATTTGTTTTATTCAATTTAACACAAATCGGAAAATTATCAAATTTCCCTATATGAACATTAGTAACATTAAAAACTGCGATATGATAAACACGCAATTTGAATTCTTCAAATTCTATCCAATAATTCTCTTCATCAGTCTTGTTAAATAAAATCCTACAAAAAAAAATCATGATTATCTTTAGACATATTCTATATTATATGAAGCACAGAATGACATTCACATATTTACGTATTTTATATTCAAGGTTTAATAGCATGTTTTAAGTGGCCCCTTTCAAAACTAAGACTGGGTTCATAACTTGAATACTTGAATAAAATGTACAAAAAATTTCTCAAGTTAATCTAAAGTGAAATTATATACAAATTAAATGATAACTAATAAATTTATATTGATCTAATTGTTAAAGAACTAATCGACGTACTAAATTACTTAGGAGTTTGAAAAACATAGAACTAAAAAGATTATACATAGTTTTTTGAAATAAGAAAAAGAAAAAAAACCCAACTAGGAATCACTATAAATAGAGAGGTAAGACCAAGGCAAGAATTATAGTTCAGGAATATAAACTCGAGCTAAAGGCCACTTAGACCTAGAAAATAGAGGCATGTCAAGAGAATATTTTGACTTACAAACCAACAAGTTAAGAATTTATATTTATTTCTTATGTACATTGTACGTGTCAAAATCCTTCTTTTTTTACAAAACAAAAAATAATAAATACATATATAATTTGGATCATCCACTAAAAGATTTGTTGCTTATCATTTGCTGATGGGTGAAGTTTGAAGGGAGGACAAGTGTAAAAATATTTAAATTAACAGTATCATGAAGGTGGGGTTTAACTTATGATGTGATGATATCTTCTTACTCACTTTCATTAATAATATCTCACTTCTGTCAGAATTGTGCAGGCTCTGATACCACTGAGAGGGTGACATTTGATAGGTATGAAGTTGGAAACTAATGGGAGCTAATAACACCCCCTCAGTGGTATCACTGTAGCAATTTCTGATACATGTTCTAAGCCCCTATAGCCTTTACTATCGTGCCAATGGTGTTACCAAAAATGTTAGAAATCTAATAATATTGTTTTCTATGAATATCATATACACAATATAAAAATAAATGATGTTGGACATATTTCGACGTAACTTTAGATGGTTAACTTCCTCTCCCACATTTGTCTTATTCAATTTAACACAGACGGGAAGATTATCAAATTTCTTTCTATAAACATTGGTAACATTAAAAACTATTGTATGATAAATACACAATTTGAATTCTTCAAATTCTATCCACTAATTCTCTTCATCAGCTATATTGAAGAAAATCCTATAAAAAAATCATGATTATCTTTAGGCATATTCCAGATTATATGAAGCATTGAATGCATGTTTACATATTTTATATTCAAGATTTAATAGCACGTTTTAGGTGGCCCTTTTCAAAACTAAGGCTTGCTCGATAACTTGAATACTTAAAATGTGAAAAAATTTCTCAAATTAATCTGAAGTGAAATTATCTACAAATTAAATGATAGCCAATAAATCTATATTGATCTAATTGTTAAAGAACTAATCGGCGTACAGAATTATTTAGGAGTTTGAAAAACAGAACCAAAAAGATCATACACAGTCTTTTGAAATAAGAAAAAGAGAAAAGACCCAACTAGAGATTACTGTAAATAGAGAGGGAAGAGAAAGGCAAAAATTATAGTTTAGGAACATTACTAATCCTAACACAAACTTGAAGCTAAAGGCCATTTAGATCTAGAAAATAGAAGCATGTCAAGAGAATATTTCAACTTAGAAATTAACTACTTAACAATTTATTTTTATTTCATATATACTTTGTACCTATTAAAATACTTCTTTTTTAAAAAATTAAAAATAATAAATACATTTATAATCTGGATCATCTATTGGAAGATTTATTGCTTATCACTTGGTGATGGGCGAAGTTTGAAGGGAGAACAACAAGTGTAAAAATATTTAAATTAATAGTGTCATAAAAGTGGGGTTTCACTCATGATGTGGTGATATCTTCTTACTCACTTTCATAATAATATTTTACTTCTGTCAGAATTGTGCAGGCTCTAATACCACTTAGGGGGTGACATTTGATAGGCAGGAAGTTGGAAACTAGAGGGGAGTTGATAACATTCTCTCAGTGGTATCACTATAAAAATTTCTGATTCCTCTTCTAAGCCCCTATAGCCTTCACCATCGTACCAATCGTGTTATTAAAAATGTTAGAAATATAATAATATTGTTTTCTATCAATATCATACACATCAATATAAAAATAAATGATGTTGGGCATACTTTGACGTAACTTTAGATGCTTAACCTCCTCTCTCACATTTGTCTTATTCAATTCAACACAAACCGAAAGATTATCAAATTTCCCTCTATGAACATTAGTAATATTAAAAACTATGGTATGACAAATACGTAATTTGATTTTTCAAATTCTATCCAATAATTCTCTTCATTAGTCATGTTGAATAAAATCCTACAAAAAAAAAATCATGATTATCTTTAGACATATTCTATATTATATGAAACACTGAATGATATTCACATGTTTACATATTTTATATTCAAGGTTTAATAGCATGTTTTAGCTGGCCCTTTTCAAATGGATAAATGTATTCTAATACCCCTAGTTTAATGTATTTAATACATTCTCTTTCTTCATTTATCTTATTGTTACTCCCTTACATTTATCCATTTGTATATAAGGGTATATTTGGAAAAAAAACTGCATTTGCTACATATTAATTGCTTTTAACTAATTTTAATCGTTTTCTTAAACCACGTAATTTAGTTATTTTGTCTGATTGTTGATTTTATCTTTCATGTTTACATATGAAATTAATGATGAATTTATTTATAACGTATCATATATATTTAATATTAATATTTTTTATTTTAAGCATGTTTAAAGTTTCTTTAAATACGAATATGCATTTCAGAAGTTTAGAAATTGTTTTCACTACCATCTCTCACTTTATGATGCTTGCTATTAAACTCGTCCGATTTTAGGTTTTTTAAATAAATTGCATTATTTATATTTTAACTTGTTATTAATTTTTATTTTTTTTGTATGGATGTTTGATATTAACAATGAATTTATTTTCGTACTAAAAGGACATTTTAAAAATAAAAATATTTTCCATACATAATATGTTCTAAATAAATTTATTATTAATTCCGTACATAAATATAAAAAATAATAGCATGTCAATATATAAATCATACAATTTATTAAAAAAGAATGGACACTGCATGGTAACTACATACCAAATCAAGTGAAATATTTGATATATAAGATGTGTTCTGAATAAATTTATATCTTAACCAGTACAATACACGCAATGGGAGAAATGCTGTCAACAGTACACGCAATGGCATATGATAGTTACAATAAGATAGATTACTCAATCCATTCCCAATATGGATAAACAAAAGGGCCCAAAGTCTAAGTAATGAAATGTTGTCAACAATACTATTATAATCTACACATAAATATTATGGAAAACCTCCTTGTAAACAACATTGTTTGTTCTATTAGTAGTTTCACCATCAGTATCCAAGGTTAAAATTTTAAGCCCACTCTTTCTACACACACAAGAGACTGCCACATAGAGTTGTCCATGGGTGAAAACTGGACGAGGAAGGAACAAGCCAACATTGTGCAAACTTTGACCCTAGCTCTTATTAATCGTCATTGCAAATGATAGCGTGAGAGGGAATTGGTGACGGCAAAGTGTGAAGGGATACCCATAGTCAGAAGGTGTAGTGATCCTAGGTATCATAACGCTTTGGCTGGTGATAGTATCATATAGCATTTGGTAAATGATTACATGTTTTTCCAGTCTGGTGACAATTAGTCTAGTGTCGTTGCAAAGTCCATTGGATTTGTCAATGTTCTGCGTGACCATCACTGGTGCACTAACTCTGAGTTTCAATACATGGTTTGGTAGTCCTGACATTTTGATTGTGTTGAGGAACTCAATTGAATGTATGTTGTCAATAGAGCTTGATGCTGTATCCTGCTTTGAAATGATATCCATGCTGAGATACTCAACTTCTTCACTAGGAAGAAGGGACAACATGAATGAGTTGACCTCGTCCACGACAGATAATATTGGGCATAAAATAGCACGATCATTAAAGTAAGCCTTGTCTTGCAAGTGATCAGGAAGGTTTGGATATATGGCATTGACTATACAATACAAAGGATTATCCACTGGGGTCAACAAAAAATCATCTGGAATAGTAATGAGATCATTAGTGTCTTTAACTGTTAGGATTGTGCCATCACCTATTGATAAAATCCAGTTTGCAAATTTGGCAAGCTCACGTTGGGTTGCTTCACTGGTGCAACTTTCAAGGTGCATATTCCTTGTAAGAGTGAAAATCTAACACTCTTTCCACAAATAAGAAGAATTAATATCCTCTCTATGTCCTCTTGCAATTACAAGCAGAATTTGTCTAAAATCAAATCCAAGAACAACCACTTTTCCTCCAAAAGGTTTGTTTCTTGCTAATGAGTCTGAACGTTTCATCACATCTCATAGGGACCTATCTAGAACTTCAAAACAATATTTGCTTGCCATTGGCGCTTCTTCCCAAATTATGAGCGAGGTCTCAAGCAAAAGTTCTGTTAGTTGGCTACCTTGTTTTATATTACAAATTGAGTCTTCCATAATAGAAATAGCGATGGAAAACAGAGAATGGGTTGTTTTCCTAGTTAGTAATAACAAAGAAGCAATGCCACTTGAAGTAACACCCAGCACTATTTTTCCGCTCTGCACACAAAGATGTGCAAAGAGTTTTCCACAAGAAGGTCTTTCCAGTTCCCTCGTACCCATAGATAAAATAAAGGCCACCTCTAGAGTTAATGGCAACACCATAAGTAGAATCAAATATTGTTTTTTGTTGAGCCATGAGTTTCGGTGATAGAGTTTAGAGGTCATGATGGAGAACATCTGGGTTGTATCTTATTTTGACCAAGAGAAATTTGTTTCTAATAGGAAGTCTATTACACAAACTTGGTTGCAGCATATTAGAGAAGTCATTGAGAGTTCAATCCACCCATTTGCTTGCAATAATTCTTCAATCTCGTGTATCACATATTGCTCTAGCTCTGCACCTCTAATGTTAAGGCCTATCACACATAAAATTTGGAATATAAGCAAGTGAATTTAATAGTACATAATAACATTTTTTATTAGCATAAGTGTATAGAATTTTTACAATACCAGAATCACTCATAGCATTTGTGAGCTGGAAAAGTATGTCATCATTCATTAATTTCCAAGTTTGAGTGAACACAACACCAGGCCTACTCATACAATTACAAAAAAGCAATATGGCAAAGGGTCGGTGTAAGAAAGGACTGCTGGCCCATTGACTGGCCTCTATTATGGCATCTATATACTCGCGATCATCTTCAAGTAACCCTCGAGCATAGCAAGCTTCTTTGAAAGTTGGATAATGTATACCATCAACTATGCGTATATCTTGAAAACACTTGGTGCCTCTCATTGAAGCAAGTAACATCCTTAGATAAAAAAAATCTCATCGGTACCTGATGGAATATAGATTAAGAGACTAATTATAAACCCTGATTTTCTCGATGTCCATATGTGAGCATTATCTTTATAGACAAAGTGTATGGGAAATTCTACATAAGTCAAAGTTTGAGCTAAAGCAGAATGCTTGTTGGTTTCATCCAAACTTCAAATTTAGTCACTTTGCCAGCTGACCGATTCAAAATACAGTCAAGATCTTCATCCTCTGCATAAAGTACAATTCACTCACCCGGTAGATGGAACATAAGGCGTTCAACAGTAGGAGTTCTGCAGTTTATGTTATAGGCAAAAATTCTCCATCCAACCTCACAAGCAGATAAATATCTAACATCATAGTACATTTTGATCTCATCATTGACAATGTCCGTACCTTCTATTGTATTCTGTGTATAAAAAGCAGATATAGCACGGTCAAGACCTTCGCTAACATACTTGAATAAGTACTTTATTGATTCACCTTCTTTGTATCTCTCAACATTTATATGGGCTCTGTATTTTAGAAGTAACTATGGATTGTATAGTACAACGTATCTATTATCAAGAGGAATGCCATTTTTAATAATTTCTCTTCCATTATTAGGTCTCCTTTACTGGGGGTAACCATCCTCATGAATCATGGTGCTTGTAGTGAACTCTTTTGGAAAATGTTTGATGCAAAAGCCATTGTGCATACAAGGGGATCGAGGATTTGCACTCTCGCATGGCCCATGCATCATAAATTTGCTAATTGCATTATATAACTCTGGTTACTATTCTTGTCAGGTATCTCGGCACTGATAAAGCGGTCAACATCATCTAGTGTTGTTATCTTGCTAGACGAATAGAGGAAAAGCATGATGTGGACATGAGGGAGCCCTTTTTTTGAAACTCAATGATATACAACTAGAAAGTGTTTCCCCGTGCGTTGCACGGGAAGTTTGTCTAACCAAGATATAAATTTTATATAACCCTTTTTTAACGGTTACAAAAATCATTTGCAAAAGCTTTAATACATGTTAATAAAAACATTTTCTAAATGTAATTTAAATACAAAAGCTCACATTAAAAACGGAAAATAAAATCTTTAAAATTATAAAATAAACTTTAAAAAACTGTGTTTTTTAAATTAAAAATCGAATGACATTAAATGTTTCACATTAAGTGGATGAACCAAATAAAATGTTGTCATTGAGCTATCTCAAATTTGTTTTCAACTTGTATTAAAATAAATTTAAACCCTCTGCATAATATAATATAATAATATAATATTATCAGCCCAAAACACTCATCGGATGATTGTAACAATGAACTTGAAGGAAGGGATGTATAATTTTCAATGTAGGTGTAATTGTATAACTTTTCAGGTGATGTTTTATCCGGTGACATCAAGCAGTGTGTTTTCGCATCAATGCAAAATTGAAATATTTTTTATCCCTACGTTGGAGAAACTGACTCTTTTCATTTCTATGTACCAGTGTTCTTTTCATCTATAAAACCATTTATTTAAAGAATTGAAGGATTACTTAAAAATCATAAACTGCATATTTCTTCTTACCATTAAAAACCAACTTAATATATTAAAAAGCAATATCTTTAGTATGAGATGCTTCAGCGCTGTTCATCATTGGCATCATCAACTTCTTAATATAAAATATTTTTTTCCACAAAAAAAAGGGAAGTTCACTTCATCATAACATTTCAATCTCTACAATCCAATAACCACTCTATACATTTTTAATATTGACATGATTATTAAATTTGAAGTGAGGCCCGTCAACACCGGTTCCTTTTCCCCTTCTCATTTCTCAATCGCTTCAAACCAAACGCCCACCCCCAACCAATTCCCAATCAGACATACATTTTGCACATCATTAGCTTTAGATACTATAGATCAGTCCTCTCTCTCACACAAGTGTAGGGAGATACTCCTCAGTCCTTACGTGACCCTCGCATCAGATTTGGCAAGTGCAACTGTGTCTTCCCACCACTCTAAAACCGTAACAAATAAATGATAAAATATTAATTGATTAGGGAAAAAATAATACAATAATAAGAGTATGAATCCACAACAAAGGGTGCTGCTGCTACGAGAAAGTGGGGGCCACACAAAATAATTCAGAGAGGAATTGGTGAGAGGAAAAGAGATTGTCCAACTTTGGTTTTGCTATCACAGTTGATGCCCAATATCCTGCTGTACTCCAACCTCAGCCTTTCTCTGCAATTTTGCAAATATAGACTTGGCATTTTGCACCTCCAACATTTGCTTCCTTCACCTCCTCTTCCACTACCCTTCGTGAATGCTCCCCTTTCGACCTCCCCCCTTTCTTCTCTCCGCTCTTCACTCTTCACACAAAAGAATCTCTCTCTATCTCTCTCTCACCCATCACGCTTACTCTTCACCTCTTGCCCCACATGAAGCTCCTCACTTTCTGCCTTCTTTCTTTTCTCTCTACACATTGCTCTCCGCTAGATCTCTTCTTTCTCCATTCCCTTTCCAGACCCTCCTTCTTCATTGCATTTGGTTGCCTCCATGGATCATTCCCCTTCCGTGTGGTGCATCATCGCTAAATTTTGCCCGCAACATTCCCGTCACCTCCAAGCATACTCCTTCCATCGTTATTATCATGTTAGTCATAGTATGGCTAGAGAGACAGTAGGAGACAAATTAAGGATGAATCATAAAGGGTTAAAAGAAAAGGATCTACGTGGAAAACTTGGTACTGGAAAATGATTCTAAGGGTCTCTTTGGGAGGTAAGCTTCAAGAAGTGACGGCTTCTATGATTTCTTCGCCGTTCAATGTTTCCCATCCTCTCGAAGTGAACGTTTCATTTTAGGCAGCCTAACTTTGTTACATAGACCTTCATCCTTCCCCATTCTTGTGTACTCTCGGGGTCGAGACCTAAGCTCTGTGATTGTGGCTGCTTCTTCTTCTCGTAAAAAGAAAAAGAAGGTAAACTATTCGCCTTCATAATTTTTGGGATGGGGGAATCGTTTAAATAGTAATATTATCAATTGTTGTTTGCCTGGAAAGACCTTAAGCAAGAACAGAAGACTGGGTGTTTTAGCATTACAAGCCATGTCACTATAAATTTGCGCCTAGTTGAACTAAATTGGTAGCCATTTCAAAAGAGAAGATTAACTTCCCAAGATTGGTAGCCATTTCAAAAGCTTAATGACCAGTATACATTGAACTGAATCACTACAATGAAAAAAGAGATTTCAAAAGAAAACGTAACCACAAAAGAAGAGGCAATGGTAGACCCTATTCTTCTATCAACATCATTGTCTACCTCTGTTCGTTCTTCATTACCATCTTCATCTGCTGCACTCACCCACATCACAATAACCACGATCGATGACCTCAAACGTTCACCTCCAGCAACAAATGATGGGAAAGTGGAGAAATGAGGATTTATATCGCTATTTGATGCTTGGAGAGGGAGATTTTAGATTTTGAATTTGAAAATGAGGATGACTGAGACAGAGGGGAAGATGACAATCTTAGGGGAAGGGGAAAAAGCTGGAGAAGTTGATTTTTTTTTAATATAAAAAAATGAGTAATAAATAATTAATTTAAAATTTGAATTTGAAATATTAGAAGAGTTCCTTCGAGTGAGAATTTGAAAATATGTGTCTACATCATATAGCCTGATCTTTACGAGTCAAATGACACAGAGCCCAATAAAATTATTATGAAGCCACATATCTCTTATGAACAGTAAAATGAGTCTGAAGTCAAAAAATAAGCCATTTAAGCTGTAACTTCAGTGGAAGAGATTGAATAGTTATATTGATGCTGTCAAAAAACACCCCAAAGAATTCA